CTTTACACAAAAAGTCCCATTTACGCAAGAAGCTGTTCGCAGATGATGAAGCCCGTGCAAATTACTTACCTCAGCAACCTCACTTACGACTTCCTCTTCTTCCTCCGCCTCGTCCCCGAAGGAGAGCAAGGAAAAGTTTCTGAAACAGGCAGGAGTGAAACAGTGAACGTTTTCGTCAAAATCACGAGAATGTATAATTTTGTTTTCCTACACAATGCAACTAAAGACATGATAACACAGTCGACACTGCTGGCCCCCGTAAGTCCTAAAGTAAATGAATCGGTGATTATGAAAAGTTGAGTCAAATTATAAACCTTCAAAAACATCTTCTCGCGGCTCTCTTCAACTTGAATATGGGACGCAGACCTATAAGCCAACGTAACCAGCATGAGATAAAAGATAAAGACAACAGCCTTGGGTGACAGGGGGTGCAGGAAAAATACACACGAAAGGAAATGTCTGAACTAGCCTCAAAGTGTAGATTTTAGTCATTCAGATGCTAATGCATAGGGATTCGGTGATAAAAAAATTGATTATTGACCTGGTCAGCAAGGGATGATGACTAGAGCAAAACATGTTGAATTGAACTCAGAAGCATGGCTCACTTGGTTGCTTTCGCTGTGGGAACGGGTTCTTCTACAACGTTCTTTTTGGTCTGTGAGGGAAGAAGCCGAGGAACGATATCATCGTAGGGGTTTAGGATTACCTAAAAGGATGAGGTTGTCAAAGCAAAGTCAGAAAGACGAAAGAATCCGAAAGCAGGTCTTACAGACCGTTTTAAAAGGTCTCACTCAAGGCAAAGAAATCTGCGATTAATGGCATGTATCGAGGTAGTAGAGTATTGCTAAGTACTGCAAAAGAAATGAAATACCTCATAAAACCAAACTCAAAGAACAGAAACGACAAAACCTGCACTTTTACAAAGTGGATCTTGGCAAATGGCAGCATAAATATGCTGGTCAAACGTCAAATACGGGCTCGCTTGTCAGACCATCAGCTACCTAGTTAGCGGGGAACGGATAGAGAAAATGCTTTCAACAGAGACCAGCTGTTAAACGGGCGCTAGAGTGTCTGATGAACAAGCACTGACGAACCGCCAGTGACATACACCGCCTAGCCACAGAGATGTGGTGAGGGGTAAATATCTAGTGAATAAGTTCGCTTGTAACAGTTGCATTTAGGTTAAGTTTAATAGAGCAAAAGTGTCCGAGATTAACTTAAATGAATAATTTGAGCGACTACTCCTGATCTGTCTATGCCGAAAGGTTTCATGATGCTACTCAGCAAAACGTGGGGGTGGGCTAGAGTAAAAATCGCACTAAACACAAGTAATTAAGTAAATGCAGAAATAGTAACTATGAATAACTTCAGTCTTGAGGATTCGGTGGAGTCTAGCGGGTCGATCACCCTTGACCACTTCGACTTCCGCCAGACGAAGCATGTTGAACAGGGTGTTGCCGACCACGCGACCGAAAAGCGTGTGTTTCGTATTCAGCTCTGTGGCCTCGCCGAGGGTGAAGAAGAATTGGCTGCCATTGGAATTCGGCTCGGGACAGGCCATTCCTACCAGTCCGCGTCGGTTAAAGGAAAGTCGCGAGTGGGATTCCGTCTGAAAAAAATGAAGTAGCCCTTAAGTTGTCATTAAACTAATCATTGGAAAACGAACACTGCTCATGGCGTAAGTGGGTCATTACATGAACCACTGCAGCATGCAAGCCACGCTAATCTATGTGACCAGGTGATTACTATTGCGATCACTGTGCTACTCGTACTAAGTGAGTAGTTGTGTATTTCGACCAACCAGTGGCCACTCGCTTTTCACCTGCAATTATGTAAATGACACCTTTTTGAATTTTTCTTCTGCATTGATAAATTTATTAGCTTTTTTGCCAATAAAGGACCCAAAGTTGTTCACCTATCTTTCCCTTGATAGAACTGAAATGAAGAGAACATTACTCGACGGGTAATAAACTTTACCTTCACTAAAAGGTCCTTACTTCTTCCCTTTCGCATAGGGCTATGAATTACGAAACAAGCAGCTTTTGTAGCTGACACCAACTGAAAAAATGATTTCTGTCGGTGTAATGCAGAGTAAATCGGCTAGGCACTAATTATTAGCCGTCATAAACAAGATTGTAGAATGAACACGGCTGCGAAGATAAAAGTGAGAAACAGGGGAGGGATCATTAAGCATTAGTGTGCCATGAACACAAGTGAGTTGGAATTAATAAGCCAGTTTAAAGTCACCCAAAAGTTTACTGACTCTAGTTCGAGCCGTCATGATCAAGCCAAATCCAACCCCAAGTGATGCGCCATCTGAGACGTGAACCCGCAACCTGTTGGTCAGGAGTCCAAGACTCTAACTCACTGGACGGAGATCGG